GCCACAGTGTCTCTTATTGATGCTATTATGTTGACAGTCCTGGGAGAAGACAATTTGCATTTGACAATTACCTTATGATGATTCGTGACTGGTGTTAATGATCGTATTTCATTTAGAATTTGGCTCACTACGGACGAGTATACTGTATTAATACGTAATTGTGGATTTGCATAAATATTCTGACCTGATTTCACACCTAGTTCTGTCAAACTTCGATAACAATCATTCAAATCAAGCTTTTCATTCGTTTCAGTGTACAATGTATGAACAATGAGAAGGCGACTTTCGATTTTTTCGTTCAATCTAGCAATTGTATCTGTAGGCGAAACATGTAACAAGCGTGTTGTATCAGAGTAAGCACATTTAATATGAACACATATATTTTTATTATGACGAAAATCGATAAGTTTAATCCAAATAGTTGAATCATTTTTTAGACCTAAATTACTCAATTTTTCATGTGAATATGCAATGAGATCAATCTCTGCATCCGAAATTGTGACAAGTCGAATATATTCGTGTTCAATCGATTCTAAATGAAAAGCTTTGACGACATCTTTGTGAAGAATACCCAGAGTTGTTGTTGCTTCATTCCACTCGTAGTCGAGTTTTTCATTGTTTCTAGGACCCCATATTATTGAATGTAATAATCTTCCTCGTTGCTCAGAGAAGAACGGTTCAAAATGCAGAGTTGATCCACTTTTGATCTTCAATTCATACAATGTTTTATGTGCATTAGGAAATGGTACTGAATAATATTGTTCATCAAGACTAACTGAAAAGAGACCGAAATTTTCCAAGCGAACGAAGTCCAGTTCAGCGAGTTCTAACAATTTTTTTGTTACATGATAAATAGTGGTCATCCGTGAAAATCGAGCACGTTGTCTTATAAATAATCCTTTTCGTCTATCAACATATTCAAGGTCGAGCAACAAGGTTAATTCCAATAGAGCGATCGATTTATGTGAGTTCATTTTGCTTGTAATCGTTTTAAAATGAGAATTTCCTCGTTGAACAGCAAGTTTTAGTTTGATGGCAAAAAAGATTCCTTTGCTTTGAAATAAATTCTGTAAGTGCTTACCAAAGTTGAAAAGAAGTTTAATTATCAGTACTAAGTGAAGAGAATTTGAACACCAGATTGTTGATATTTTTCATCATCCTAAATTACGAAATATAATGAAAATTAGTTAGTATTTCTCAATGGGCATAAAAAAAAAGAGGTTGGTAATGAAAAATTTATTCGCTACCAGTGTTAACTGGACTTTTTGAATAAAATTCGTTGCGATATACTTTTTTTTTCTTTCTTCACACGCCTATCAAACGACATCATCATCGACAATACCAAATCTGCCGAATGTCGACATCAAAGTGCAGTGAAAATGAAAAAAAACCACATTTCTGTTCTTTTTTTTTGTCGCTTTTTTCTACGGAAGAAACCTATTTGTAATACACGAATCAATACAATTTGTAAAGTTGGCCTTGAAAAGACAAAGAACAGGTTTATTACTTTATGAGTTTGTTATTCGTATGCAAAGGTAAATCGATTCTTTAATCGATCAATTGTTCAAGGTGAGTTTCTTATTAAATTCTTAAATTTTTTCTAAACTGATGTTAATCAAGGATCATTCACATTATTGACCAAGAGAGAAACTTAAAAAAAAAGTAAGCACATGTATATCAAATAAAAGATCGGATCGAAATGTAGTAACGTGGAATCTTTTTTAATCTAGTGACAAAAAAATTGTCTCGAATTATTTATTGATGTTTTAAGATTTATTTCTGCAAATAACTTTTTTCTTAGATCCTCAATGTGATCATGTAAATCGTTCATTGATTCATCTATCTTTTGCGACTAAGGTGTTTCTATGACAAAAAAAAAGTCATTCAGCAAGTGTATTTTATATATCTTCTAATAAAAGTACTAATACAGTTATACTATCGTATATCGACAACAAATAAAAAATTTATAGTGTTATACTCTTGTCTTGTTTCATTTACAACAATATTATTGATTTCAAACTGTAAAAAACTTATATAAAAGTTTTTTTTATCTATACTAGTCATAAAAATCTAAGATGAATCAATAAAACCATCTCTTATGCAAATACAAGTTTGAAGAAGCTGATCATCTACATCTGACTTAAATTACTATTTGTATCATAAGAATCGTTCTCTTAACTCGAAACTCTCATTTCGACGATAGCTTATTATACTTGTCGCGACGGCAATAGAGAGGAATTTCTTCGTCAATTAAAACATAGAGAAAAATAACATCTCTTATATGGATTGTATTACAATTCTTTAATAATCCAATGAGCCTTATTTCCAATTCGCTTGTTGGCCTTCAACAAGGATAAAAATGGGGGGGGGGGGGGAGAGAGCATGTACTAATTTATTTGTTGCTAAGGGCGACTCTCTGCTTTCATCTATCTTTTTCTCTTTTTCAATCGGTTTGCTGGAAAAGATGTTTACTTATTACGTTTCTTTGTCTCCTTCTCTTTGATCATTTCATCTCTTTGATGTTGCCTTCTAGTCTAGGACACTTACATTTTTGATCCCGGTTTTTTCTAATAATTTTTAATTAGTTATATAATAACACAAATGATCCCGGAACAAGCTATTTTTGTTTCTCGCACAACATAATTGATCCCGGAAAATAAGCAAGTCTTGGCACCGTCTTTCAATCTGACGCACATTGAATAGCTATGTGGTCTCACTTTAACCATAAGATTTAACCACACAAAACATTTATATTATAGAAAAGACAAAAAAAATTACAGTAGAACAGTTTGCCAGAAAAAAAGAAAATAATCTAGTAAAAAGTATAATCGTATACGTATATTAATCTTTGGATAATGCTAATTTAACTTTTTTTGGTCTACCTTTTCCTGTACCAATTAATTGTGGCATAGGTTGACTACCCCACAACATTAATAAACCTAAAACATGTACGCAGGTATATTCTTTTAAACCAGTTTGACATGTACAAAATAATGGTGGTAGTAAACGTAAACAACTTATTAAACGCGCTGAATTGAGCCAATTGACTAATTCATCATAATTGTTCCAGGCCATTGCATGAAATTGTTGAATCCATGTTATTGTACTCATGTTTCCATTTTTGGATGGTACTACATAAACGTTTGTATTCATCTGTAATATTTGTGTTTTATCCCTGTTGTTGTAACCATGTGTATGCACTTAATTTTAAATCATCTTTATACGTAATATGTAACTGAAATGGTTTTTCTTCACTATCTTTTGACCAATCGATTAGCAGTCGTTCGGCTGTTTTTAAAAATGCAGATAATGCAACGCGATTTCGTAATGTGTAATCTTTTTTAATTCTACCATTAAGTGATTCTAGCCCATTATTTGTTGATGGTACTAAACAAGCAGCTCCTTCATACCAATACGGTAACGATAATATCCATTCTCGTTCAAAATATTGTCGAAAATCATTTAATTCAGCATCTGTTGACGATTTTAATAACATAAGACGTGATGCTATTGCAAATATTTGACCGTCAAATACTAATTGCATACTAAAAATATCTTGTTCGACTAATAACCATTTTTTTTAATCTTTAATTAGTTTTGCATGTTGGCGACATTTCTTAATCATATGAAACCAGCACATTAAACGTCTTGCTAACGGAATTTCAGACATGGCAGTTGTTAAACTTGCACAAATTAAAATCAAAGATAACCGTATTGCAAAATGATTTTTTGTACACAGCTTTGTGACTTACCAGGTGCTCCATCAGCTAAAACGTGTGAGATTGTGTCGGCTTGATTATTAACTACTGATGCCCATTGTTGAATAACACGAAATAATGTACGAAATGTATCCGCTGATTCGTCTGTTGATATTAAACAAATACCCATTGGATAAAATCGACGATTATAATCAGATGTTCCAAATACTAATAATGATAATTCATTTGTTGTTATTTTGTAAGTGCAGTCAATAGCCAATACTGATGAATATTTACATGCAGATGATAACTGACGTGTTGTGAAACATATAAATAAATCATTCACATCATTAGCGACATAATAAGGTATAAATATGTCGTGTTGTTTATCTGGTGGTGGTACATTTTGACGTAATAAACACCATTGCTGTAAATCTTGAATGAATTTAACACTGGAACGATCTTTTTGACGTTAAATACGAGCAGCATTCATAACTTTTGTATCAATAGACAAATCTGGATGTAACGCTTCCATTACTTTATTAATTTGAGATGTTACTAAGCCGTTGTCTGATAGTCTAATAATAACTTCTCGAATTGGTGATGGTAGTCGAGTTGTTGTATTCCGCTGTTGATGATCATGAGACCCTGATAAATATAATTGATACGTACCATCAGACGACTGTTTTGCTTTCAATTGAATTTTACATAGTGGATATTTCCGATATTCTGAACAAATATATGTATGACATAATCCATAATTAAATTGTTCTGTACATTTTTTACATGTATTATTTTCTTTGGTGATTGCTAATAACTCATTCTCGTCTTCGCATACAAAAAAATCTTGCCATATTCGAGTAGACATGTTGATAACAGTATATTGTTGAAATAATAATTATCTGTTGTGAGAATTATTACTTTTACAAATATGTTTATAATTTTCAGTTGAAGACAATGACTGTTGCCCTTATAGTCTGAGATGATGAGATACCGAGATGGATAAACCGCTCAAATTGACATATTATTATTGGGTTATATGAAACAAACCTTGTCTATCTTTAATTTTGACTCTTTTCTTTTATAGATTGATTGAATTAATCACTTAATAAACAAAAGTTTTACATTGTCTCTAGGTACCATTATTTTCCGAGATCAATTATGTTGTACGCGAAACAAAAATAGCTTTTTCCGGGATCACTTGTGTTATTATATAACTAATTAAAAATTATTAGAAAAAACAGGGATCAACTGTGCATTTTTTTCCGAAAAAAAGTATCCGGGATCAATTGTGCTAATTTTCCGGGATCAAAAATGTATTTATTCCATATTGTATAGGAATAGTGTTTCGAAAAAATAGTATTAAACATCAGGTTCGTTGTACATTCATTCTTCGATATTCCAATCAGTGAATAGCAATGCTTTTATTGTATAACACGAATGAACAGTAAAATATCGAAAGTAATTATGACACGAGATGAAAAATTGCCATTGAACTATGTATCCAATATGAAAACATTATCCAGTTCGAAATAACATCGATTAATATATAAATTCTGTATATAATCAAAAATGCCTTGAAAGAAGCATGAAGAAAATACACGAAATAAAAAATACAAAAATAAAGAACGATTATTGTGAATGGAATATAACGAACGAAAATGCGTTTCCTCTGACTATTTAATCAGTTATAGTGAAATATCGGATTATGCTGGCATCCCAACAACACTTTGTAAAAAAAAAGGAAAAAAGAGGATTTTTAATAAAAAAAAGAGAAGAAAAAGAGGCATACAGTTCCGTCCAAAGAAAACTAAAACCCATTGGCGCAATAGTACTATAAATCCGACAAGACTCGTACATTATCAATACAGGTTGAATATGACTAGACATGCACCAAACCCGAATTCGAGTTCGGAGTTCGGACCGAACGGTTCGGGTTGAGATTACTGTATTAGGGGTGTGAATTCATTGTTGTTATTATTAATAACAATATCTTTCTTTGTTATTTGTTATAAATAACAAGTAAATAACAAATAACATTTTTTTTCTGAAGAACTAGGGGTGGTACTTTACTTTTACTTTATAAAATAAAGGTAAATGAATCCTTTACTCTTAAAAAATAAAGATAAATGAATCATTTATTTTTAAAAAATAAAAGGAAAATAAAGGAATAAACGATACTTTTTACGACGACAGATAATGTAATTGGAAGAGCACTAGAATCATGAAATAAATCTGCAGAGAGATTATTACGATTTAAAAATGTAAATCCGATTTAAAATACATTTCCCAACATGAAATTCAAAAATAACAGAAATGAAAGCTTTATTTCTGATCTTTTAGGAGTACTAAGAAAGAGGAAAAGCTTCTTGTAACATTCTAATGTGATCTAAAGCTTTCTATGTATTCAGACATCTTTGTGAAGCTTTATTTCAGAATCATAGAATGTCTTCATCGGATCGATTATCTCTCAATGTTCATATTTCCAAACAGAAGTTCTTTATAATTTTGATTTTCACTTCTAGTTACCCACAACCTTGCCCAATGTACTCTGTATTTTGCTATCTTCCGCAAAAAAGTTGGTCAATAGAAGTTGTAGAACGATTATTTACAAATAAGTATTAAATAGATGGTTTTATTTTCACGAGAAGCAATTCTTTTTCCAGGTACTGGAAAACATCCTAATGATACACACACAGACATAGGAAAGACACAAAATAAGGAAATTAAAACAAAAACCAGAAAATAACATACACATAAGCTGTAACGAACATAGTTTTTTGTATGATTTAATTCCAAGTGTATCTACATATAAAAAAGCTTCTTTCGGCAGGCACTATTTGCCATTGATATATTTATTATCTATAGTATATCGCAATGCAAATTTAACATGATAATTGGGATAGAAGGTAGACTAGTTTAATAATAGTAAAAAGTCACTTTTTACTTCCAAAAGTTTTCATACAAACTTCAAATTCAAATACAGTTCTCTAAAACTATTTAGACAAAAGTTGAATCTATATTCACGAATCAAAGAAAAGCCAAGGCACATTGTGGAGATTGAATTCTTTCCAAAGAGCAACTATTTACAAAGCAACTTGTTTACTTTACAGTAGGTAGAGCACGATGCATATGTTAATTCTCTATATCCATATTTAGTTGAAGATTTTTTTATGAAATAAAGTATTAGATCATTGAGAGATGTTCGCGAAAGATAATTTTTGAAGAATGTCAATTCTATCAGTATGATGTGAATGATTGAAGACTTTAATTAAGAAAAGAAACTCTTCAGCCAAATATCGATATAAGGAGTTGACCTGTGCATCCTTTCCTACCTACTGAAAAACAGGCAAGTTTGTCAATATAAAGCTGATCTATGAAAACGATTCGATCGTGGAACCTTAGTTTGTGTTGTCTTGTATTCGTATGTATGGACTCCAATTTTCTTAAAGTATTTTCGAAAAAAAAACGTAAATATAGTGGACTATTGTAAGACTAACTCATGTTGTATTGAACTTTGTATGCTAAATTTTCATTTACATGCTCTATGAACAATGTATGCTCTATCAATAAACATTTCACTCATTCTATTGTTCTTTCTTTTATTACGAAAGATAATTTTCATTTTTTTTAACAACATAAGATATCTGAGTGTAGTTAGTGATAGAAAAGACCGCTGTTTGTGGTGCACATAGTCAGCAGCAAAGAAAGCTTATTCCGAGACGACTGACGTCGCTGAAATAAGACTATAACGCTTTATAAAAAGGAAA